GCCTATGTCGTGTTCGCTATTCATCTCTCTTTCAGCGTCGTTCTTTGTTTGTTTGCAGCTCACTCGTGGCGCTTATTTGCTTTTAGCTTCGTGTTTTTTTTTTTTTTTTTTTTTTTTTTTTTTTTTTTTTTTTTTTTTTTTTTTTTTTTTTTTTTTGTTTGCTGTTTTTTTCTCTTTTCTTTTTATACGTTTGTTTGTTTTTTTTTCTTGGTTTGCCTTCTCTTCAGCCTTTAATTTCCGTGCTTTCAGTTTGCGCTTTTACTTTTCAAAAGACATTATTTTGATTTATGACGAGCCATTGATCTCATACCGTTAGTTCTAAAGCGCTTTTATTCGACACGTGTTCGCCATTTTTTTCATTTTGCTTGCGCGTGTTTGACTTTGAGTGGCGATGCACATTTTTGAAATTCTTTATAAAACGTCTTCCATATTTTTCCAATTTTGTATATTGATATTAATGTCTTCTCTTTCTCTGWGCAATAAATATTTTTTACTGCGAAAATACATACATATGTACATTTAACGTGTACATTAAGGTGGGTTAAAAAAGTATTTTTTTGATTTTATTTTATTTTTTTTCGCTTCGTCCTCTTAGACATTGGTTTGTAGGCACCTCTAAACCCACCACCATTTCCAAGGATGAGCTCTCAAATTTAACGTGAAGGTTCTTATTTTCAGAAAGATTCAAAAATAAATAAATAAAGTTTCACATCGCGCTTCCAACTATCTGTAAAATTATTCCGTTTTATAAGAAAATTTGTATGTCTTTCAAAAAACGTTCGGTATTTTCGCAAACCTAACCGTTTRCARGTAAAAGATRTTAACATTTGAAGTTTGGTTATTTCAGGACAATTTTTGTTTCTTTTAAATTAAACAAAATAATCTTAGTTTTTTTAGGTTAGGTTAATTTGATAGACCAATGAGCCTCGCATAGGCCAGTTTTTTTCTTCTGCGATACCAGACGGCGTTCAGTTACTAGGTCCATGAAGCGTAGTCATCCTTTAGGATGCCTGCGCTTGTAATGAATTTCAAAAGACTCTACAGCCTCATTATCGAAACCTCCTTAAATGCGTCATACCGTGAGGATTTCAGATGCTTACAGCATAGTCTCGCCATTGCCAGAAGAGTGTACAAGAGATACTCCCTTCTTTCTCTGGTGCCCAGCTCTAGGCAATTCCTGCAGTCTTCTCGATCTGTCAGCAAGTCGATCTGTGAGCTTGTCGGTCCATCGACATGTGTCGCCACCAGACATAATCTGGTCTTCTGTGTACTTCCGATCTACCGTTTTGCACATGACTTTTGYAGTTTTGCACATAGATAGCACATTCCWTYGGGTTTTGGTTTTATTKACCATGMTTCTGTCAAGATCGTCGTACAGACAATGCATGGCTTTGCCAATGTTGATCACGTTTTCGGATGTTAGCCTTTCAATATTCTTGGCAAGCTCGTCCACTATTTCATTGCCTTGGATGCCTTTGTGGCCTGACACGCAATAGAACTTAATTTGCTTACTTCTGGCAACACTTTTCACTGATACACTGCTTTCCAACACACTTAGGGCCGATATGCGATACGAAGTTACTGTCTGGATTGCTGCTTGTCTGTCTACGTAGATGCTGACTCTGGAATTGCCTGCAGGTGCACTAGAGACCAGCTCCGCGGCTTTCGCAATAGCAAAGGCCTCTGCTTAAAATGTACGGCGGTGGTCCGGCAACTTCAGAGGTTGCCTTATGCCTAACTCTGGACATTATATTCGCGCATCATCCATAGTCTTATAGTCTTGTGGTTTTGCTCCACTGTCTTTTTTGACCTACCCTAATGCAGATTTGAAGTATGGCAATAGCTTTGAATAATATTATAACATGGATAATTGATTGATTTTTGCTGTTAAATACAGGGTGACCCATGCTATTTAGTATAATTATAATTAATTTGGACCTTACCAATTAATTTCGAATATATTTGGAATTAATATCAAGGAAGTAAACTATCCTTGCTGCCTTTTCAATTTATTTTTTCATAATTTCAAAGSGGAACAGCAATTCCGGAACTAATGTTAACCTTGAGTTCATCAATGAGTCGAACATTGCAGGGCACACGTTGCTTTCATAAAAATGTCTTATAAAGGCACAAAAATATGGCAGGCAGTATCTGGTTTGGAAATCTGAGTGGCCTGTTGGTAGTGCTTTTCAGTGCTTTGACAATGGACCGTCTTGATGACTTTTTACTCGGTTGAGCAACACAAACGGCTTTAGCAATAATTATAATTCACTTAAAAGACCAGGAAATGCTCGGAGGAAATAGTTGAGACACACATACATATGYATATACCTAACTCCATTCATTTACCGCTTATGTATCAATTCCATTGTGGAATTGCGATGTTGAAGTGAAGTGGAGGAGCAGTTAAAGCCCTTACTACTAGAAGTGTGTAAACTTGTAATCAATATTATTGGCGGTATGGACGAATAAGAGCAACGCCGCAGCATGGCTGCTCTTGTAAATCGGAAGCAGTTCTTCGGTGTTCATTTTATGGACGCGGCTATTCACTTGACACGTCCGGCAAGAGAGCATTCAATCACCAAGCGAATAAACAATCAACCCACTCACACACATACACACCGCAGCACATTTGCTTGCATAAACTTCCGCCTAGAAGGGTCTGCCATCAGAACAACAATAAACAGCGCCAGCGCCGCGCAAATGCAATATCCTGTTGTTTGTCTTTCCCTTTTTCTGCGCTGCTGACACAGCATTGCATGGAATTCAATTAAAATTCAGCTGCCGCAATCCACCTGCCTGGCCGTGGCACAGCCGCCGCGTTGCTTGTGTGTGTGTGTGTGTTTGTGGCTCAATTTTTTGTCGGTTTGGCTCTTTCGCAGCTTTTGTCTTGTTTCTTTTGTGATTTCCATGTTTTTTTTTTTTTTTTTTAAATCTCCATTTCGATTGTCAACCGGACAAGCTTTTGATAGCGATGAGGGGGCCGCCGGGGACGCTAGCGTTGCTGCTTTGCACTTTTATATTTGTTAACGGGATCTACTAGCCGGCGGCCTGCGTTATGTGTCGTGGTCAAGTAAATTACAGAATTTTCGTATTGAAAGCACAACAACAACGCACTTATGGTGGTCATATGCTGAAGCGCCTAGAAGTGTTGTGTGCTTGAGTTGTTATAAAAAGCTCTCAAATGCCAAGTAGCTCCAGACTAGCCTCTAATATACTATATATTTGCATTGGTGTGAAAGCTAAATTAGTTACTAAAGCTAATAACAAATATTCTACTTCAATAATTTTCTTGACAAAAAAAACTAAAAAACAAAAAAAAAAAAATTGAAAAATTGGGAAAAGACTCTCAGCATATCCTAACCTTACTTTCTATATTCCCAACCAAATTTTGAGAACTTTTAGAGTTTTTTATCAAAAGAAAAAATATTTGACTATCACTCACCTGGTATGTTTGCATGTGTGGTTTGCAACAGCAAAACCAGCAGTAATATGATAAACTGATGAGTTTGCTGCCAGCGGTTTATGCTGTTGCTATACTTATTGTTGTTGCTGCTCGCCCTCTTGTTGTGCGCTGGCTCTCTGCTGCTTTGGTTGATTTTCGAATTTTCATCAATTGTTGGGATTTTCGTTGATTTGCGGTTTGCAAGTGATTTCGAAATGGTTGTTGTTTTTGTTATTACAGCTTGGTGTGAAATCGCCTGCTGGTTGATATTGTTTGAATTTTCTGTTGTTGTTGTTGTTGTTGTAGTGTAACAATCGTTATTGTTGTTGTTGTTGTTGTTTGTGGCGAACGATGATCGCGACCGGCTTAATGCCTGACACCACCGGTAAGACCCAGGGTCCGCACACACGCCCATGCCTCTGGTCCCATAGTCAATGCCGCTAACGGATCGTCCTCATTGCAGCGGCGTCATCTGCAATTGAGAAGGGGTAAATGTTGACGCTATACTTTTATGAAAAGAGTTATTAAATTTATAATTTTGTTGTTATGAAGGGTCGAACGGTATTTTTCGGTCTAAAGCAGTAGAAATTTTAGGAATATGTTGACTCAAGGATGGTCTACAGCTACTAAAATTCGGCTTCTGCCATATATATGTATGTGATCTCGGTAAATGATTTACAGTCCATTCTCTTCAAAAACATTTTTTTTTAGCTCAACTAAAAATTACTGTTAMATTGCCTTCAATGCATCAATCTCTGTCTGCCGCATGTCATTGGATGATGTGCCTGAAGCACAAATTGCTCCGCTTGTCATAGACACMCACATGTATTATATGTTTGTGTGCATGCATGTGTGACCACACACATGCTTCTCTGCCTTCTTCGCTCCTCAAAGAATATTTCGTTGTCGATCACATATCTGAGTTCGACAAGAAAATTGAATTTGTGGTTAACTCGTAGCTTTGCCAAACACACACACTCACGGTTATGCTCCTTGCATTTGAAATGAAAAAATTCAGTCGGCCTCTCGGCCTTCGTACCGCCTATTGGGCTATTGGGAAATTTAAAATTGCAATTTTGTGTTTGTTTTCTCGTTAACATGACATAATTCYAAATGCAAATACAATGTTTATGCGAAAATGCAATAACGCACTGATAGCTGGAAAATAGATTTGGATTTGTGTGCAAATAGCCGATGTGGATAGGGGAAACGAATTAAACGTGGAATATACTATTCGCCTGTGCGTGCGTGTGCGTGTTTTGATTACCTCGCCAATCAGTAAATAAATCCATAAATTTGTACAGCAATCATCAGATGTATTTGCCAATGCTTAAACAACTGTAAAATATTACAATTTGTTTTTTGTTTGAGGACTAAGTGAAGAAAGCAAAATGAGAAATATGTAATTTATGCTGGATTTAAGGTTTGCTTTAAGCTCTAATATCTCTAAGCCTTGGATTATAATTTGTCTATGTATTTTGTTGAAAGTTAAAGTCTTCTAAGAATTGTGGGTGCGCTGAAGAATTCTGGTTGGTTTCCAATAAGTAAATCAGTGAAACATAACGACCAAATAATAACCAAATTCATGTTTTTCTGGTACGTCTGACGGCTTACTCAGGATTAACCATGTGAAACAAACRTCTATCAGACAGCTCGGCTTGGTATCGCAATACTTTTTAAAAYAGCCTTAAAGCCATTCTTCTAGGCTAGTTCAGAAGCCTTAGTACAAATAATTAAAGAAAGAGGAAATTCATAGTAGAGTAAAACCCATTGCCAGAAAAAGAGAAAATGAAAAGYTCTGATTGAAAATYTGAAATTTTTTGAGAYATTRGKYMA